ACACAAAGGCTGCGCCCGGCCCGCACAACCCATTTCCTCGGCTGGATGCCCCCTTCCCTGGGCTGGACGGTGCGCAGCCTAAACGGCCGGGCGCCTGTGCGATAAAGCCATCCGAAAAGTCGCAACATGAAAGGAGCCCAGCCTGCGGACAAAGGCTGCCCTGGGGGCGGCTGCCGGTCTGAACTCGGCCACCGTGAAGGGAATTTGACTCTTGTGGGAGGCCGATCAGCCAGGCGGGAGGGAATCAACCGGGGAGGGGGTAGTGCCATCTTTGGCCGAAACACGGGGGGCTCGGCTCCAAGGAGACCCTGCTCTCCACCTCTTCACGTTACAAGCCTCCGAGGGGCTGAGCGGCCACAGAGTCCAGAAGTGGGCAGCCGACCGTGTCCTCAGTCAGGACTCTGCTCCTTCTGGATCAGACCGGCCCCCGGCTGGCAGCAGCTCCTCAGGGTCCCCAATTTAACCGGGGGCTTTTCAGACAGGCTCTCAGGGGTTCCCCCAGAGATCAACCAGGGCTGGCCTGGTGGGGTGTGGAGCCGAGCCCGGACTGTTCGTTTCTGCCCAACGGGAAGGGACAGAGAAAAGCTGCTCCCGTGTGAAATTCCCACCCCTCTGATCCCCTCCAGGGTGGAGGAGAAGGCTTAAAAAGACTCGAAAGCGGAGATGGGAAAATTGACCACTTAACGCTGCACTTTCCTTGCAATGACCATTGCCAACTCTCCAAGTGCTTAAACTGAGAGATGGCCTTGTTTACCCTGCAATACCTGGGGGGGGATATCAATTTTGCAAAGTTTATTTACAAACTGCATTGGAGACACAAGGGCGGGGGCAGAGGTCTGGATCCCCGAACCTGGGCTGATCTCCAGAATCTCCTGCGCTCAAAAGAACAGACTTGGGGAAGGGCAAACAGCCGTCCCCCCTCTGGGGTCCTCCAGCCACATTCAGCCCCAGAGTTCTCGGGATTGCAGCCCCCGTTCCTGGGGGGCACAGGCTGGGGAAGGTTCTGGTACAGGACAAGAGGAGCATGTGGGTGGTGGAGCCGCCCAGCCCCCCGGCTCCAAGCCCAGCCACTGGAGGGCTTCGGCCCAGGAGCTTCTCCACCCGTTAGCGGCCTGCGGGAATTCAGCCTGCAAACTCCTTCCAGACGCGGCGCTGGTTGGGCAGAAGACGTCTCCAGGGCAGAACTCGGTGGTCCACACGTGCGCCCCTTTTACCCCCACGCTGGCTTGGAGAGCCTGTGGGGAGAAGAGGGCACCCCCCGGCACAGTCAAGGCAGCAGGAAAGAAGCCCCAGCATCCTTTCGCTGAGATTCCCAGACCCATCGTCCTGCACCAGGAAGAACAACAGCAATGCACGTCCACCTCTCTTCCCTGCCTGCAGTTTTGGTGGGACGCCGATGTGGAAGCAGCCGAGGGGGTGCTGGATGCTGGCCAGTCCTCTGGTCAGAGGGTTCCCCGCATTCCAGCCACGGGCCCCCCTCCCAGGCCCCCCCAAGGCTGGGAAATGGAGGAACGTTTCCCCTGCTCTGTGACCACTGTCCGCTGCTGCCCAGAAGAAGACCTCCTTGGGGGAAAGCTGCCAGACCGTGGGCCCCGGGCCCGCAGGATGGACTCCTCTGCATTTGCCGATTATTTCTTTCCCACCGGGGGCCCCTCCTCGGAGGGAGCGGGCTCCGGCTCCCAGAGCAGGAACTCGTGCAGAAGGGTGTTGACCGTCTCCGGACACTCGAGCATCACCATGTGGCTGCCCTCGTCGATCACCTTCAGGAAGGCGAGCAGCAGGATCTGGGGACGAAGCAGGTGAGGACTCAGGGCAGGCGGCGGGGCCGAGACGCCCTTGCAGAGCTCCCGCCCGGTGCGTCGGGGCTGCCCTTCCGGTCTCCAGCCACGCTGGGCTGCCCCCCATTCCCCCTTTACCTGCAGAGGACACTGCGCGTGGTGCGTGTGGTGCGCGTGCATGTGTTCAACTTGCACCTTCCTCGTGCAAACTCAAAGTGCTGTTACTCTGCGGCAGCTGCCCTCGCCCCGCCTGCAGCCGGGCTGAAGGGAG